ACCCTATGTGCAGTCACATGTACCTAGGGTAATGGTGTCCATCTCATTCCACTATCTTTCCTACCCCATGCCCCTCCGCTTTGTCCAATCAAAGTTCCTTCATTCTTTCCATGCTCCTCCCATTAAGGATCAGCACCCACTGGTCAGAGAGAACATTTGGCCTTTGGTTTTTAAGATTGGCGTATTTGCTTAGCATGATATTCTCCAATTCCATCCATTAATGCAAATGCCATAATTTTATTCTCTTCTAATGCTGAGTAATATTCCATTGTGTAGATATACCAGAGTTTCTTTATCCATTCATTTATTGAAGGACACCTAAGTTTTTTTCCACAGTTTAGCTGTTGTGAATTGAGCTGCTATGAACATTGATGTGGCTGCATCAATATAACATGCTGATTTTAAGTCCTTTGGGTATAGACCAAGGAGTGGGATAGCTGGGTCAAATGGTGGTTCCATTCCAAGTTTTATAAGGCATCTTCATAACTGCTTTCCAGAGTGGTCACCAATTTGCAATCCCACCAGCAATGTGAGTGTAGCTTTTTCCCCACATCTTCACCAACATTTATTGTTGCTTGTATTCTTGATAACTGCCATTATGACTGGAGTGAGATGGTATCTTAAAGAGTAGTTTTGATTTGCATTTCTCTAATTGCTAGAGAAGTTGAACATTTTTTATATATTTGTTGACTGTGTATCTTCTCCTGAAAAGTGTCTGTTCAGTTGCTTAGCCCATTTATTGATTGGGTTATTTATTTTTTTGGTGTTAAATTCAATTGAGTTTTTTTTTATAACCTAGAGATTAATGCTTTATCTGATGTGTGTGTAGTAAAGATGTTTTCCCACTCTGTTGGCTCTTTCTTCATGTGGTGCATCTTGATTTCCTATTCCACCTCTGTCATGAGTGGACTGTGTCACTGAGCTCAGGCATGTCTTCTTTGGGAAGCCATTCACCGGGTCACTGTGGGACAGATCCCGTGTCCACTGGCTCGACTCCCTAGAGCCTGGTCCAGCAGTATGCACCCCAAAGGACATGGATTACTGTACCTGCCAGGGGCTTCATTGGAACATACTGAGATGGCTCGGAGTTTGGCCACCTCCAGTGGCCTGCGTGTCTGTGGGAATGTGATGTGGCCTTTCTCTCCTAGGGGTGAGATGCCTCTCAGCTGACTTACTATACCTCCTCTCTTCATTTTTTTTTTCTGTGCACAAATACTCACAGATCGACACTCAGATAGTCCACTACCTGTATGTGTTCAGTGGAACTGTATGTTGTTGCCTCTCTTGGAGCTGTCACCATATGGACAGGGAGAGGTGGCTCAATCCATGACATTCCCATTCTTTACTCTCTCAGGCCCAGCCAGCGTCTCCTTCTCACCTGTGTGGCAGATGTGTGGAGACAGGGTCCTGAGGATGTGTGTTGGGTGTTCTCAGAATGAGGCAGCACTAAGCTCTCACATGCTGTCTTCAGCTTTGGGGTTTTCGCTTCCTTTCAGGAATGAAGGCAAAGTCCTCTTTAGCATCCTGCTGCATTTGGTATGAACTAGATTTTAAACTCAAGAACAGCTCATTTGGAACCTGCTGTTTTGGGGTCCCACCAGTTCTACATCTCTGATCTGCAGTTCCATTGTGTGTGTGGGGAGCCCTGAACAGGAGCTGAGCATGCCCCCTTATCCTTGAGTTTCGTGGCTGTGGAACTGGCATTGCAAGCCATGCGAAGCAAGTGGGCCTTACCTTCCCTGGGCAAGGAAGTGCAGCTCTGGGCTTGGGCGTCACTCAGTGGGACTGTGCTGCACCCCGCTGTTTGTTGTAGCACAATCCCTTGCCTCATTTGGGTGAAATACTCTATCGAATGTCTTCCCTAATAAATGCACTCTCTCTCTTGCCTCCCTTGCTCCCCTTGACCTCCAGCATGGGAGCTGCTTCTGAGGTCTCAGAGCCATCTCTGACCCCCCAAAAAGCTATTTTGTGTTTGTGTGGTCTTTTCGAAGATAGCCCAATTCATGTGGAGTGACCCTGAATCTAGGGATGTGGGTGATATTCTGTTGCGTTGAGCTTTGAATAGCAAGCACAGGATGAGTATGTGGTGGTGATAAAGGCTCAGGACACACAACTTATTACCTTTTTAGATTTCAGATATCCCCAGTTTAACCAGAATAATTACTTCCCACTGATGTCTTAAGGCTGCCAGGATGGACCCTTGCTGTGTGAACTAAGAAGACAAATCAGACCTGCTTCATTTTGCTGTCTATTCTGGGGCTTCTGAGAGATGGATAGTAACTTAAATTCCCTGAATGGGGCAAACAGTAATGACAGCTGTCATTTATTGTGCATTTCTTATGTACCAGTCACTGCTTTTAGTTTTTTTTAATCTATAACTCATTCATCAAATCCTTTTATCAAATCTTTACTATAGATGTGGTTGCTATTCCARTTTTACAAATGAAGCACCCAAAGCACACAAGGGTTAGAACAGTTTCCTAAGGTCACAGAGCTTGGAAGTGGCAGAGATAGAGATTGATCATAGGCAGTCTGGCTCCAGAACCTACACTTTTGAATACTATTTTCCTGTCATAGGAATTTGTGAGTAGTAACCTTTTGATTAGATGTTTTGTCATAACCTCCTTATGAAGAAACATTCTTTTATAGTCTCAAGTGACTAAAAACAGGTTGAACTCTATCAAAATAAGTTTTTAAATCTCCTAATTTTTATGTTGTAAATCTAATATTTTTCAGTTATTAAATAATTTTTGGTCCCCACCTAAAGAATAAAAACAAAGGCATCTAGGGTGATCACATTTAGCAAGTGCTTTTATACATCTTCTAGTCTATGTGTGAAGCAAGAGATCAGAGCAAAAGATATTTTCCACAGAGGTAGCAAGCGGCTGAGCTGGGACTAGAACTCAGGACTGTTTCCACTATTGGCTGCTCAAATGTGCAACTGTTCGTATTTTTGAAGTATTTCATTGTGTACCCTGCAGGGCTCTGTATGAGAGTGGGACATAGATATAACATCGGCATCCTTCCTCTCCTGAAGTTCAGTCTTGCTGAGGCCAAAGGTGGAGTAATTGGAAACCACATGGTTAGTGTCATAAGATTGGTGCTGTGTAAGACATGAAAGGTGGCAAACTCCACTGGGCTTGTAGGGTAAGACAGAAAATGCTTCACCGATACAATACTTGAACTGGATTTTGAAGAATGAGTTAGCCAGTCTGGATGAAGGGACAGAGCTAATTTAGGACTATTTCATGCAGACATGGGATACACTTTGGCAACTGTAAGCTCAGCAGAAGTAAAGAGGAACTGTGGAAGGAGAGGTTGCAGATGTGGAATCCCTACCAGAGAGCCACCAGGGATTTCACCTACAGGTGTGACCTTGGATTTGAACTTCAGAAGCTTCATTCTGTCATTCCCTAGAGCCACAGAAAGCAATCAGAGGGCATTTAAAATATAAGGGAGTTATTATTTACAGCCCAAAGAGGATAGGCAGTAGGGATGAAAACCCAGCAAAAATAGGTAAGAATAATTTTCCAGGTTTCCTTTGAAAATGAACAAAAGCACATAGAAGCATGAACATTAGATTTCTTTTAGCCTTGCCATCAGATTGCCATTTGATGCAACAGTTCCTGTTTGGCACATCCCAATTCTTCTGTGTTGAGAAGTCATTGTTATTTCCATGGTTGCTTGTCTCTGGCCTCCAACCAGGGACTCCTGCTCCCGTCTCTGGGGTCCTGAGTGGCCTGCACAGTATCACCTCCAAGTCCACAGCCCTTCTCTCCCATCCTCAGGCTCACTACCTCTGCCCTCTGCCCAAATAACAATGTTTTATCATGTGTGCTGTTCCTCATTGAGAAGCTTTCACCTCGTCACCTTTTTTTTTTTTTTTTTTTTAAACAACAAACTTTGCTCATTATTTAGGCTGATAAAATACTGAACAGCCAGTGACTTTATAGTCTCCATAGAGAATTTGTCATCCAGATTTTCCTCTTGGGGTTCTAAAAGAAGCATGATTGTTGACAGTATTGAATGCTTCAATAGCAAGCTCCTTCTTCACAGTAAGGGGCCAATAATTTATTCTTAAGCACTTAGCATAAACATGCAATTCCAGTACAATATGGTGACTTTCATACAGCATTCATTTTACTCGAATTATTCCTTGTGTATCTTCTATTTCGGTGTCTGTGTTTCAAGGGAATAATTACTATTACTATGTCTGACTTTGCAAATCCTAATTAATTGAAAAATATTCTATGGTTCTTGATATAAAATAAATTAACATTTAAAAAATCTGTTCCCCCACCACCAGTATTTTTCCAATGATTAGAAATGTCAGGTTTTTAAAGAGAGGATATAACTGTTGATTGGGAATTGTCAATTATCTAGTATTTCATCTCAAAGAACTTCGGCCTTTCCCAAATATGGTTTTTATTACTGGGAACTTTAATATAACCTTCATTTGAGTTCTTGGTATGAGGGAAGTTTATCTATTAGATTTCCTTAAAGTTACATGGTCTTGGTATTTAATAACTAAACCATCTAGGATAGACACCTCACACCCCTTTGTCTAGCTAGCTATTAAATGTCTTTTTCTGAATATGAAGCATAATCACAATGTATAAATGCTCTGAAATACTTGCATTCAYTTGAAAAATAAAATACCAACTCAACATTTTGTTAACGTTCATTTTATAAAATACCTTAAAAGAACAGAAAAAGTCCTCGATGGTACAAAATAACCAGAATTGAAAAAGAATGAATAAAATATAAATTAATCAAACACATAACTATTTTGCCACATTGGACAAGTTTTTTTTAAAAGGCATTAAAAAACAACAAAATGGTCATGGGGAAGAAAACACTTCACTCTCTTGCCATCTTCTTCTGGAAACTCTCATTAGAAACATAAAATTCCAGGTTATCAGGCAGTACCTGTATTATTTAAAACAAACGGTAATTTGCTTACAAATGGATGAGTTTGAAATTTTTTTTTTGAAACCAGATTAGATAATTCAGTGCAAATTAAAGCTTCAAGTTGAAAATGTAAGAAGAAAAAATATGTCCAGGAAATGCTTCTGGAACTGAAAAATTTAAAAGTTCACACACCAAAAACAACTTGCAAAGGTGTCTTCATAATATGAAATACCAAGTTAACAAATGAGCCCTTTGAGGTTACAATTGGGGCTCCATCATTAAGACTATTTGCAATGTGGGCAGAGAAACAGACGGGGCAGAGCTAAAGGTCTTGTCGCTGCATTCATGGAAGGAATTCTAAGTTGAGCATAAAATGCTTTGATTCAATTCTAGAAAATTTGGCTGTGATTATCAGATATCTAGGGGAACATAAACCCAAAACAGATTATGGAGATAAATGTACTGAAATATTATGATAAATTGTTCTACCCCAGAAATGTCAGGATTTTAAAGAGGATATTTGGTTGTGGGGGTTAATATTGGTCATGATTTTGTTGTAATCTCATGAATAATAAATATTGGCTTAAAGAATAATATTACCAAATCTTAAGAATTGGGAGAAAGGTTTAACTTACTGGATTACAGTGAAAGAAGGTTAGGAACGTTTCCTATTAACAGGATGTCACTATATATAATAAAAAATCTGGTTTAATTTTCTCCTCAAAAATTCTTTATGAGCATGACATCATAGGCAACGTGTAGCTATGAGTTTTCACCATAGTGTGACAGTTTCCCTTATTCCATTTGATATAAATTTTTGATTTATTTTACTTAATGAAAAAACTAATGGCTGCTACTGAGTACAAGATGCATAGAGATTTTGATGGAGGCTAGAAAACTATAAAAGTCCCCTTCCAAAAAATTTTCAAGTCCAAAATTACTATATCATTGTCTTTTCTTTTTAATTTCTCACTGAAAATTTTCATTATTACTTGAAAACTGAATGAGAATGTACTGTTTCCTAATGTTCTTATTTTACTTCATTCTCTAAAACATTATCACAAAAAAAGTGGCAACTTTTGGCTTTTCGACTTCACCTATCATTGGTGAGTCATAAAAAGCCCCAAATATACAGTGCTATTCCAATGTGACATCAAAAACTGAAAAAACAAGTTAAAACTCATAACATGGAGTTCACAAAGCAAAAGAGAATTGTCAATGCTATTCTAAAAGTGTAAAAAAATGGTACTATTTACTCAAAGGAACAGCATCTAAGGTAAATTTAAAAATCCCCCTTTAGGGACATAACCAGCTTAGTCATCTGAAGAAATTCATACAAGAGTACAAACTATGCATGGCCTGTGAGTCCTCAAGAAAGCCAGACTGTAAAGAAAGGGTGTGTGTCACTTTGCAAAGGAATTTGCGAGTTCCCCGCCCTGGGTCAACTTGCCGGTCTGCACAAGTCTTGTACAACTTTAGTTTCATCAGACCTAGCTGATGTCCTATCATGTCCTGAGGAGAGTCTCACTCTCTGATGCATTTTTTTTTTTTTTTTTTTTTTTTTACAACACAAAAGTGATGGGTGAAGTTAAGAATGGAGTGGTAGAAAAATGCAGAAACCCACAATTTGTCCATAGTTAGAAAACTTTCTGTGGGTTCAGGCATTTTATATAGGGAGAGTTTTGTCTGTATCATTTCTTCACTAACTTCTCATTAGGAATGGGGGRAAAAAAAAAAAAAACTATTGGAAAATCCTGAGGCTATAATGGAAACCTTCCAGGTTTTGTCCATCAGAGACTTCTGCCATCAAAAATGCATATAAAAAACAACAAACCCATTATATTGGAATCAGCCTGTGAGAGTTTGTGCTTAAAAACACAGTGCCTAATAGTGCCAAGCACATTGTAGATGCTCAATAAATATTTATAGATCTATTAAAAGTAATAACATGGTTTCTGAAGAAACCTATTTTGAAAAAAGGCAAAATTATATTAATTTCTTTTACCTGACTGATTGAAGCAATGTGGAACAATGATCGCATCTACAAATCAAATATGAACCCGAATTTGGAAAGAGAAATTAGTAAGAATTTTGCAAAAACATTGCCACAGTAGCACTGAAACTTAACAGTGCACCAAAGATTTAATAATCCCATTGCAGTGTGAAGTGGATCCCATGGCTGTTCGAAACCAGGGTCTGATCGCACAAATAGGAAATGAAATCTGTTCCACTTTGGAAAAGATATGTCCATGATTTTATTTTTAGTTTAATATATTTTGGGGAGATGGCTTCCTGAAAGTAATGCAGGGCTAAGTATCAGGGGACCTCATTATATTACTTCAGTATGGCATTGTCTTGTGCAAGTGTATGTCTCTCACATCTGCAGTAGTTGCTTTCTCATGTTTTTTGATTTTTACAGCATTGTGGCACCCTGGGATGACAGAGACAGAACATGTGGAAAATTAAAGGTTACAAAACCTACCAAGAGAATCTCCTCTATATTACGTAAAAAACCCTTAGAAAAGGCAGTTAATTGACAAATATATGCTTTATACATTCAGGTTTTTTCCCATCTGTCAACAGTGATGGTTTCCAAAGAAAAGACTCAGTAGTGAAGACCATACACATTTTGTTTTTCTTTTTTGCATTAGTTTGATATGTTGAAAATCAGAACCTTTAAAGCATCTTGTAAATGAGAGGAAATGGAACTGGACCTAGGGGTTGGGCTTGGGGCATGGATGGCAGAGACCAAAATGAAGAGGTGCTTTAGCTGCTGACATGGACAGCAAGAGTTGATGGGAAATGTTACAGCAGACCTGACCACTCTACAAAGGGTCCGTCAAGAACACAGTACAGGTATCAAAAACAAAAACAAACTTCAACTTCGTCAACTTGTAAACAAGGAAAAGCATTTCACAGATTCAAAGTTCATGGGAAGTAAACGTCTTTAAATTATTTTTGTCAGTTCAACCCTGATTTAAAAGTATGGCTAGCAAAAACAAGGAAGCCGCAGAATCAACATCCTGAGCAAGTAACAGACTTCTGTGAAGCTGCACTCTGGCCTCCCTCCCGAGATGCTCTCCCTCTTGAATTCCATCTCAATCCTCTTTCCATACTCCTGGAATATTTGTCAACTTCTTTCCGCTGTGGTATCTACAGTTCTGGCTGCTATAGATTTAGACGTGGGGAGACTGGAGGAGGAAAGGCAAATTCTCGGAGGATGCTACGGGCCACTTCAACATTATTCTGGGCTATCTCTAAGGCTCTCTTCACYTCTTCAAAGGCATAACCCTCTCCCATGAGTTTTGCAATTTTTGCATCGACATTTTCCAATGCTGCCTCAGGCCCATGGGGTTTTCTGTGGTGAATTTCTGGTGCAGTCCTGCGGGGTCGTGGTTTGGGGGGTCTGGCTGGTGCTTGTGAACCATCTGTGTAGATTTTAAAGAGAGAGACCATTGAAACAGATAAAAATGAAGACATTAAAACATAATGGTGTTATTTTAAGTAAAATAATATAATTTTCCACCATCTTTACAAACTTTTACCCTTCCATTTCATTGTGAGACAGGTAATATTCTCATGGTTGAACATTAGAGAAGTTGTAGTAGAATATGTATTTGTAGTTCGAGAAATTTATGCATTCAATTTTAGATTTTACATTTTATTTTTCAAATCATATGAAATAAGAGGTACAGAAGGAAACTACTGTCTAAAAGAGGAAGGTTTTACTTTATTTAGCTGTACAATTTATCTTTCTGAACCCTGGCACAGGCTGTGGCTGATGGTCCCCAGAGGAAGAGTCTGGGGAGGTTTCTACCAAAAGAAACTCTCTAAGCTCATACATACACATGAGGACCACCCCCTCTATCCCACCTGTGTCACAGCAGAGAAACTCAAGACACTTTTTGTATGGTCTCTTCCTGCCTAATTTTTCAGATCTATAATTCTATGCTTTACTGAGGCTAGAGAAAAAAAAAATTAAAAGAACAGAGCAAAGGCTTTGACTTTATTAATCAACAGGTTGAACAGAATTAAACATGACACTGTGCTCAACAATTTATCCAGATTCCCATGTAGCAGGATGTGTACGAGAAAAAGAAAGGCTAGAATAAACATCAGGAGTGGAGAAATGGATTCTAGATCAGTTTCCCAATGATAGTAGTTTCTCAAAGTGAAATCAATGAGATTGGTGCCCATGAATGAACAGTGTCCTTAAGAGAAAATTAATTCCAGGCCTCCTCCCCATGCAGATCCCAGGGCATGGCCTAGCTAACTGGACAGGGTATGTTCATCCCTATAGCTATACTCTGTACAGTACTTAAAAAGCCTATGTTACCAAAACGCAAAAGGATTAAATAAGAAGTCAAATTTATGCCATCAAACAGCAATACATTTCTAGACAAGTTTCTAGACAAGACTTACAGCTGGCAAATGCCAAGCAACAAATCCAAGGACAAGAAGCAAAAGTGAAGTGGCTCCAAGCCAAATGCCTCAGGCACAAAATGTCCCCTCTGGCTCCTGCTCTCTGCCTTGCTACCTATTCCAGTGGCTTCAGAAGGTACTGTACACTGACTGATATTTCCAATAATAATCAATTTAAGTCATAAAAATTGATTAGACACATTATTTAATATTTTCTTTTWAAATAAAGACATGGATGATATTTCTTTCCATGAAAAGGTAACCAAAAAAACAAAAATTATCCCATTCACAATTCTGGCAATATCAGCATTACCTACATAAAAATAAAAGCACCAGGATTAACATGTTTGTTTCTACATGAAATTAGATAATAGCCTTATTTTTAATTTTTTGCTTCGAGGATAGTATCTAGTTTTAAAAAATATCAGAATTATAGGAAATGTATTTTAAAGTCTGCTCATATATAAGAACATGCAATTCCTTGATCTTGCTAAAATCTATGGTTTTGCCTCTGTAATTAAACATCTGAAATCATTATGGTCTGTTAAATTGCATTTTTAGTAGGTTTTGTGATTCCATTCATTTTTCTATTAAATATTTTCATTACCAGGCAGAGATGAACAATAAATTATACTTTGGTTTTAATCATGTTAAAAAATGCTTATAAATTCTAGTAAGTTTTCCTTTAATCAACCATCATGAAATTCATATGTTGAAATCATTTGTTCTGAGGTACTTTTGAGGAAAGAAAAGCATCTAGACTTAAACACAAGTCATAAATACCTTGTATCCTGCTGGTAATTTTCTAAGAGATCTCTAATACTACTATTTTGATTTTGTACAAATTACTGAGAGGCACACACATGTCATGCATGTTTAAAAGGAACAGTTAACATTCAACTGAAGTGAGAAAGATACTGTGGCAGCTAGAGACACATCTAATAGCATAATTGGCAACTGTTAAGAATTATGACTTTGTTTGATAAACATGTGTATCTCTGAACTTGGCAGATAACACTGAAAAAGAACTTATCAGCCAGACCAAGAAAAGCAAGAACCTGAGAGAAGGTGGCTGACTAGAGGAGCCCAGCACTGGTATCCTCCACAAAGAACCAAAGTGATTCATGTATCACTGCATTCTGAGGCAAGTGACTGTGGAAGAATGCTGGAAAGCAGCAAGAAAGAGGCTGGAATATTGTAATTCAGAGAGCTGGGACAAAACCTTAGTAAGAAACACAAAATATGCTGGCATCTGCAGCCTCAGCTCCACRCCCACGGGAGGAGGAGTCTCCCATTTGTAGAGATAAGGGTAAAAGTGAGAGTCCTAGCAATCCTGGCTACTGGAATGGTTCACATTCCTCACAGGCCTGTAACTCACTTAGATAAATAACCTAAAATCTGCAAGGTAGCTTTGCCTTCAAAAAAGTTCTCACATCATTTCCTGGTGACCCACTGGGTGCTATAACCAAGAGACATCTGAGAAGGGAGCTATTTTCTGGGTTTGAACTGCTTAAGGGGTCAGAAACCTTGTGCAGTCCCATTTCCAGATTTTCCAAAGACGATTTCACTGCAGTGGCTTGGAGAACAGCTGCCTTGCAAACCCAATTTAACTCTGAGTGACTCTGACCCATGCCTGCTTGGTGCCCTGCAGGGGATTGGTGTTGAGAMAGAGGGAATGGAGTGCACCATGCTTGGGATTAGGGTGCTTGCCCTCTTAGATCAAGAATGAGGCCAGACATGTGTGAACTTAAGACAGTGCCAGGACTAAAGGCAGGTACAGTGTGTCCTTCCCCCTGTGCTGAGCGTTCTGTTGCCTGATGATGGGGCAGGAAGCTAACACTGGGATTCCCTCTGCTGCTGCCCCCCACAAAGGCATGCTGGGGGGGCCTGAACAACTCTACTGCTTCAGCGTTTGCCCCACCCAGGGGTGCCAAGTGCAAKTTTGCTCCGCTCTGGTTGAGGTTATACTCTTAGGCTGGGGTACTACCACAGCGAGAGCAGTGAAGAATACCACAGTTCTGCTGCCACCCTACCTATGCAGCCACCTTCTGTCTGTGTACCATATCTGACCATRCATGGCTGTCAGGACTGCTTGTGAACACCAGAGAGGGGATGTTGCAGTTGCCACCACCACTTCTCCCTGTGCAGCATCTAGGTCCCCACCACTGACTAGTAGAAGACAGTGCTAGAGGCTTCTCTTATTATAGGGACAGCCATCCAGTGATCAGCCCTCACCCATTATTTTCTACACCATACGTGCCTGAGCTGCTAGGATGTCCCCACTTTTTTGTGGTCTGTGGTGACAATGAGTCTCTCCAACTCCAATATGGCACACCCTGCCCAAACTCACTAATCACTGCCAATGAAACCACAGGGAGATTAGATTAGGGTGTCAAACTAGAAACAAAGCCAACACTTCATATCAAACTAATCCCAAGACACACCTTCATGAGAAAGCCACTTAMTAAGAAGACTCTGTAGAAGTGATAGAGGTGATAGAGATATCTGATCTACCAGATGTACAACTATCAATGCAGGAACACAAGAAATTTGAAAACACAGGTAATATGTCTCCAAAAGAACATAAGAACTCTTTAGTAACAGATTCCGAATCTGTTATGAATGAAATGCATGAAATGTCTGAGAAAAAAATTTTAAAAAATGATTGTAAAAAYGCCGAAAGAGATCCAAGAGAATATAGATAAATAATTAAGTTAAGTAAGGAAGGTGGTGCAGAGATATGAATGAGGAACTGAGGAAAGAAGTAGAGATTCTGTAAAAGAACCAAATAGAAATCTTGGGAATGAAGATTTTACTAGAAATCTTACTAGAGAATTTCAACAATAGACTAGATCAAGCAAAAGAAAGAATATCAAAACTTAAAGACTTTTTTTTTTAAGTATACCATTAAGATGATGTGGATTATATATTCATTCAAAATCACTTTGGGACATTATTAAATGAACAAACATTAGCATTTTTCTGGAATACTCAAAGGTAATAAGAAAAATGTTAAGAGCCTAGAAAACTTATTCAATGAAATAATTGTAGAAAACTTCCCTAGTGTTGGGAAAGATATTAATGTTCACATCCAGATGAACCCAAACAGACATGACCAGAAGAGATCTTTACCAGAGCATATTATAGTCCATCAAGTACAAGACAAAGAAATTAACATCTCCAAGAGCAAAATGTCAAATCACATTTAAAGGCATTCCATTAGACTAATAGCAAATTTCTTAGCAGAAACCTCGCAGGCCAGGAGGGAATGGAATGACATACTCCATGTTCTGAAAGAAAGTAATTAATAACCACAATTACTATACCCAGTAAGGTACCTTCAAAAATAGAGAAATAAAGATGTACCAAGATAAGCAAAAACTAAGGGAAATCATGACCAGCAGACCAGCCTTACCAAAGACACTGAAGGGAGTTCTACACCCAGAAGTGGAAGAAAGATAACTACCATGATGAGAATATGTGACAGTATACATCCCTGTAGAAGATAGATCAGAGAAGAGAATCAAACATTATCAATACAATAAGTCATCAAACACAAAGAATATTCAAAATAACCAGAACATCAACAAAATGATTAGAATAAGTCCCTACTTATCAATAACCTTGAATATAAACATGTTAAAATTTCCAATTAAAAGATACAGATTGTCCAAATAGATAAATTWGTCAACAGTATGTTGCCTAGAAGAAAATCACTTCACAATAAAGACATAGATACATAGACTGAAAATGAAAGGATGGAAAGAGTATTCTAAGCAAATGGAAATCTAAACTGAGCAAGAATGGCTATATTTACATATGACAAAATGACTTTTAAGACAAAAACTGCAAAAAGTTAAAAAAAGGTCACTATATAATGATCAAAGGATCAATTCAGCAAGAAAATCTAATAACTGTAAATCTATATGCACCCGATATTGAAGTAACCAACTTTATAAAACAAATACTATTTAGATTTAAAGGGAAAGAAATGTTCCAAAACAAT